CACACTGCAGGAGAAACCCCCTACAGCGAGCTGGGGTGCCATCAAACCACTCCGGGAGAGGCAGGTGGACGTTGCTGATCGGACCAGGTGGTGTAGATGGTGGTGGGGTTGCTGGAATGACCGTGAGGAGCTGGGAAGGTGGAGGTGTAGCTTGCAGTTGGCGTACGGTCTGGATAACCTCATCCATGGCAGTCCTGAGGTGCTCCAAGCACATACAGCGGAGAGGTCGGGATGTCCTGCTGCCTCCTGTTTCCTTGGGTCGGTCATTCTATCACAAGTGTAGAGTGGAGTAGGCAGGAGGCAGTCACAGGTTTAGAACTACTGAATTTATTAAAGTACCATAGCTTAAAGTGGGACGAAACCCACAGTGCAAATATAAAGTACTCAGGAAATAGTAGGAGAGATTCCTCTCAGGAAAACAAGCAACATATACAATGACCGACAAAGACAAATGACAGAGGGAGTATATATACAGTGATAGAGTGGGGATTGGAACCAGGTGTGTGTAATGATGACGAGACAAGTTTGGGGTTGATGAGTGAAGGGCAATGGCCAGCAGCAGGTTCGGTAGCAGCTAGAAGGCCGGCGACGCTGAACGCCTGAGCTGGACAGGAGGGGGAGCCAAAGCGAAGGCTGGTGTGACAAAATGTGAGATTTTACTCTTTCTGGCAGTATAAGCACTACTATGTATTGTTTATGGCCCCCTCATGATAAATAATTACTTTTGTGTATGTCTATTTAGACGGAAATCTACATTTTGACATTACATTTAACAGGAGGTTGTCTCTCTCAGAGGAACTGCTGAGGATGACTCACTCCACTGACCCAGAATCAGCTAGTCAACTAACAGGGTAGGGATCCTCAAGTCAATGGGGCTCCATAACACTGCTCTGAAGTCAGTAAAAGATTGTGCCCACACAAGATTTTGACACGTCCTTTGAGAGAGGGTGTGTGTTCGAACCGTCGGCTTTTGATGAGCCCTACAAACCTCCAGATGACCCTCCCTAACCCTCCTAACCCTGTCTGACGACCCACCCTAAACCCTGGGTCCCTGGCTGATGAGCAGATGGCCTATGGCCCACTCACTCACTCAATCTAGTGGGCAGGAACACAGTGTCATGTTCCACAGAATTAAACAGCACACAGGGTAGGGGTCATTGCTGCATTTAAACACACAGAGAGAGCGTGTGTGATTCAATATGCACGAACACACACAAACACAGCCGTGGACAATCCTGCAGACATAGATTACGTGTCTACGGCATATGGCTGAGGTTCCAGGAGTCAGGCATGGGTAAATAACTAATATATCATCACCACTAACAATCTATTAGTCTGATGCCAACATGCATATTCACTTTGTTTATGATTCGGTGCTGTAAGGGGCTTGATGTTTGTTTTCAAATTGAACAGCAGATTTAAGTGCCTCCTCATCAGGCCAGGGGCAGAGAGAAATTGAAGGTCACGCATCACGCAGTAGACTGCAGTCTGATGGTAAGTTTCCCTACACTGTAAAACTTTTCCCTGTAAATGTACAGCATTATACTGGCACCAGAGTTGCCAGCTTAATACTGTAAATATATTTGACAGTACTATTTTCCTTACTGTAAAAACACATTACAACATACCTGCTGTAAATTGACAGGGATGTTGTAATGTTTTAAAGTAAGGAAAATAATACTGGTCATATCTTTTGAACCGCTAGAATCAAGCCAATTTGTCTGTAGTAATGGTGACAACATACCTGTCAATTATTATCTAGGTGATATTTTTCTTGGTTGCACAGCAAGTTATTTACGAGCAATTTAGAGCAGACCGAAATGGCATGCAGTAATTCAACATTGGCTAGCAATAAAGATAATAATAAACAAGTCAAGGCACCGTACCTATCCAGCAGCTGCTTTAAGAAGATATTTACATAATATAATATAATAATATAATAATATAATAACATCTCACCTGACAGCATGAGGTAATAATAACTTTTTTTGAATCTACTAATAAGAATTTGAATCTACAGTAGGCATAAGCTATTACTGTAAAGAAATACAGTATGTCTGAGTAATTTTTACAGGAAGCTTCTAAATACAGTTAATAACAGTCTTTTTCAACATGTTACCCATAATGCAGTGCAATCTACAGTATTAATATTGTAAAACACATTTACGGTATTTTACTGTTCTACAGTGTTTTACTGTTGAAATTACAGAAAAATCTTACAGTGTAGGGATCTGATGGTGCTCTCTGAAACACTCACACACTCCTGTGCAGGAATGCATTCTGTATTGCAAACACTGGCCACATCTGGTCTTCAGGTTTAATGGTGCTGGCTCTCTCTTTCACAGAGCTCTCTCTCTCCCTCATTCTCTCTCTCTCTTTCTCTCTCTTTCTTTCTCTCTCTCCTGCAGCAATGCATCTCTCCAATTAACTGGTCTTTAATGCTCCTTTCAGTAACAGCCTCTCAGTGAAGCTAATGGACTGTGAGAATAAGAGCCAGAGAGAGAGAAAGGGAGAAAGGGAGAGCGAGAGAGAGAGTGAGAGAGAGAGAGAGAGAGAGAGAGAGAGAGAGAGAGAGAGAGAGAGAGAGAGAGAGAATCATCATATTCTCAACCTCATATTTTCATACATTGTCTGTCTGTCTGTCTGTGTCCAGAAAGCTTATGTTTCTATTAAATGTGTTATCTGCAATTTCTCCGCTTTTTGCTGCAGCTCTTCTCTTTTTCTCAACCTATTTCCTTTTATCTTTTTTATCCTTAATTTCTCACCACTCATTTCATTTTTCTCTTTAACACTCCATGATGTGATGGTAGAGTGTATATTTCTCCCCTCTCCCCAATGTCAGCCTGAAGTGGTTCTTCTGAGGCTGATATGTAATGACATCGAGCATTACATTTACTCCCCAAGTTCCTTGTTGAATTACCTCCAAACGCTCAAACGCTGGCTTTGATGCACACGCAAACACACACACTCCAAAGCACTAATAGGAACAAACGCTACAGTAAGTCCCTAGGTGTGCACTTAAACCTAAGCAAGCAGTGTATGTGTGTGTGCATGTGTGTGTCTGTGCTTGTGCGTATGTATGTGTTTATGTGTGTGAGCCAGATAGCCATGTGTTTGTGTCTCATTTAAGGTCATGTTGCAAGTTCAATTTGCCAATAAAAATATGATATACACCACTTGTATAGGCAATACCCCCCAAAAAGCAGGTTGTTTTTTTTACTAGCAACTGGCAAGATGTATCTGGCAGCTTTAGATGAGAGAATGGAAAATGAATATATTTGCTAGCTATCCATCTGATTGATAAAGTTGATAAAAATGCCATTAGCTAGCTGCACTGAAACAGCTGGGGGAAAGCTTGCTAACATTACCTAACTCACACCATCAGTCTCTGAGTTGACCTTAGCTATCGAGCTAGCTAACTAGCTAAGTGGACTGTAGCTAGGTTTCTAGAAAATAACAACTATATATGTTCTTGCTATACTTTAAAGACTAGTTACTATTGAACACTTTTTGTCAAACTACTTAGTTTCCCTGCCTGTTTAATGATGCACTGGTGACTGAAAAGGTTGGCAAGAAAAATACCCCTCTTGATTTCACTGGAAATGGGCTGTGTTGTCTTGGTATAATTTAGCTTAATAGGCTTGTGCATATTTACAATATGATTACATTGACGGGGGGAGCTGGTCCTAGATCACTATTCCTACTCTGACGACGCTTTGCAGTCAGACTGCAATACAACTGCAGTACAACGCAGTATAACTGCAGTATGCTGCAAATACTGTGTCCAAAATAACCGTTTTTTTACTGCAGTAATTTTGCAGGGTAACTGCAGTTACAGTGCAGTATAACTGAAGTTCAAGTGCAGTACACTCATGTTATTCTGCAATTACTGCATCCAAAATGCCACAGTCAACTGCAGTTACTGCACCTTTACTGCAGTTTCAAACTGCAATCTTTTTTTGTAAGGGGTGTGGTGTGTCTGATATACATGAATAAAAATGTATTCACCATGGACATGAGACTTGCATTTATTTTAGACCTTTTGAATCATAAACTGTAAGTGTATTTGTCTTCATGTTTAAGTTACCACATAAGTTAGTACAAATGTGAAGACCAATATGACAAACATGCTATGAAAAAGTTATTGCTTTGTAATCTTACAATAAAAACATGTAAATGAGTTGTTTATACAAAATGTTCTTGCATTTAGTCATCCCCAAAATGTGGCCATTGAAAGCCTTGATAGATCCATCCTTCCTCAGCAGACTCCTTCTTACCTACTCCTGTCTCTCTGTCTTCTTCTAGTTTAAAAACTATACGGCTGTAGTCCAGTGCTTCATTGTCAAAAGAAACACACTCGCACACAGCCATCTGGTGCAGCCAGGCAGTCAAATGGCCTTCCCCTGAACATCAAGCAAGGACAATGTTCTATTTCAAGTTTTTATGGTGTGTGTGCAGCCCAGCAGAATACTGTATAATCGATTTTATCACCAATTTACAATGTCAGATTTTGTTTGTTTGTTGACATATCAGATTGATACATACAGTATATGCACTACTAATTATATATATATATATTTCTTTCTTTTATGAAACATGGCCTTTAACAGAGCGTGCTGTAGGGCAGAAAACAGAGTGCTAGATACCGACAGCTCAATAAGCTATGGGACCCAAATGGACCTTATACTTTTACACTCTAACGCAGGGCTCTAGCCTTTACCATGCATTTAGCATACGCTTATCCAGAGCAACTTAAAATCACTAATGTAGGCAAAACAACCACATCATGATCACAAAAATCTTCCTCAAAATAGCTGTTATCTGCACAATCAGTGCTAGTAAGAGCATAACCCTAAACACTACATACAGTAGGATAGATTCAATGTTCTTGAGCTCACACATTCTCTAGGTCTAGGTAATGTCTTAGTTCACTCACAGCAATTCACACCAATGAGTCATTCCCAATGTGCTTGTTTCTCAGTACAGGAACAACAGCTTATTCACAATGTTCTGGCTGAAAAAACAACAGCAGAAACTACAGAGGGAAGGAGATAAAAATGTGCACAACATGACAACAAAATTTGCAGAGGAGAAATTATCATTGACCTCACGCTCTGGTTGCCTCTAAGGGCACTGCCTGCACTGACGGCTTTGTTAAGCTTTTCGCTGTTAATTGGTGCACCAAGTGGAGAGCTCCAGGATCAGAGGGAGAGAGTGAGGATAGAGAGAGAGGGAAAGGGAGAGAGGGAGCACGCACTGTACAGACTGCAAGGAGGAGAGCTGCAGGATCTGACGAGAGAGGAAGCGAGGGAGGAGAGAGAAAACAGAGAGAGAGAGGAAGCACGTACTATACCGACTGCAATTAGGCTTAGAACAGAGGAAGGGTAGGGAGGGAGGGAAAAATAAAGTGAAAAAGGACAGATATGGGGGTAAGGTTAAAATTAAGCATAGAAAGAGGAAGAAAGTTTCTAAACCCAGAGGTGCACCATCGCAAGACTTCCGGGAACGCTTGCGAAACAGATCAAATAGACCAGGCTGGGGTTTAGGGTTTGGGGTTTGATAAGTCAATGAGAGAAGTGAAAGATTCTTCCTTAGTTGTCCTTTTCTCAAAATCTAAAGGCACAACCTAGACTCGAGCCAATGTCTTAAGTAGTTGAACATCGTGAAAGTGACAAACTGAAACGTTTTTATTTTAGCCAAAAACAACTTTATATCGAAGAAGTGCCTTTCATTTGATGGCTTGCATACGCGCAGTTTGGCACGAGACGACCGTTAGACCCGATGAGGTGTTACTGCGCATGAGCTTAGCTAGCCAACGTAGCCATGACATCGGGGTGAGTAGGGAACAGTCTCGAAAACCTGACCCTAGGCAACAGTGACTAGGGTCTGGTTTCAATTACGGACTCTTTTGGCAACTTCGATAAGGGGAAAAAACATGTTCCGGGTTGGGTCCTCTTCTCACATTTTCCGGGGTGGGACAGATAACTCTCCCAACAAATCACGAGGCAGACATGCCAGAACGTTGCGATTCGAAACCAAAGTTTGCAGGCAAAACCTTTACAGTGGTTTTAGTCAAGGTAGTTGATGCAAGCTAGCCACTTACGAAATGCACTCATTAAAAAGAACCTCCATGATCTCCATCTTGCTAGCTACTATTTTGTATTTTATTCAAGCGGATAAAGTAGTGACGTAGGCAGTGACTAAGTTCCTCTATGCCAAAAGAGTCTGTCATTGAAACCAGACCCTAGTTGCCTAGGGTTGGGTTTTCGAGACTAGGTAGGGAAGGGAGTCCTTGGAAGGGAGAAGTGGCGAGTGGGACCGAAAAGGAGCACTTATGCGCTCTATGCGTTTTTAGGAAACGCATGGAGTGCACTACACACACGGATGGTAGACATTTTGAGTAGCTATAATATAATCTCTACTGCTCCTCCACTAATGTCTCCTGGTGGTTTTTACTCTCTCATTAACGATGCAGCTTATTTCCTGGGTTTTGCATGCAGCCTTTTCACAGCTCTTTTCCACAGGTTTCAACCGAGAGATCCATAGAAATATATATATATATATATATATATATATATATATTCGCCCTCAGAACAGCCTCAATTCGTTGGCGCATGGACTCTACAAGGTGTTGAAAGTGTTCCACAGGGATGCTGGCCCATGTTGATCCAATGCTTCCCACAGTTGTGTCTTATATTGCTTATATTGACTTGTACTGATTTGTATTACTCTCTAGTCTCAAGGCTAGAAAACATAATATTAGGGTAAGGGTCACATCAGGAATGCAAGTAAAGTGAACCACCTGTGCACCACTGCCAAGCCACGTCAGATAGAAGCCGAGTTAAGCCTTGCCTAACCTAACCTTGAGCGAAACAAAAAGTAATGGAGGTTGACTGATGAATAGTGAAGCTGGCCTGGCCTGGCCTGGCACGCACGCATGCACGCATACACACACACACACACACACACACACATACACCCCCACCCCCCCTACACACACACACACACACACACACACACAACTCCTGTTGGTTTGAAAGGGCTGCTTGTTTCTCTCGTCTCTTTCATCTCTCTAACTGCAGCACCACGAGCACAGTGGTGTCCTCATTAAGACTGGCTTATTGCTGCCTTTATTCAGACCAAGATAACACATCATAGACCTGGACTCCTTCCAAATAATCGCCTTCTCGTTCAGAGTTTGTGTGTGTGGTCAGAGAGAGAGAGAGAGAGAGAGAGAGAGAGAGAGAGAGAGAGAGAGAGAGCGCGAGAGAGAGAGAGAGAGAGAGAGAGAGAGAGAGAGAGAGAGAGAGAGAGCAGGAACTGTTTGATGCAATGTTTATTTACATGTTTAGATTGATTTGAGCAGAAGGAAAGAAGATACCAGGATTTTGACAGAATTAATGGAATGGAATCTTATCTGATCTAGAAGGTTGTCACGCCCTGGCTCTGGGGACACTGTTATGTTGAGCCAGGGTGTGTAGTTCTATGTATTCTATTGCTATGTTGGGAGTCCTAGTTTGTATTTCTATGTTGGCCTGAGTGACTCCCAATCAGAGGCAACGAGTGTCAGCTGGTGCTGGTTGTCTCTGATTGGGAGCCATATTTAAACTGTGTCTTTCCCTTTGTGTTTGTGGGTTTTTGTTTCTAGTCTGTTTATGGTAGACCGTGAACTGTCACGTATCATTTGTTGTTTTGATCGTGTCTCGGAATAAAGAGTATGTTTGCCTGCAACGCTGCGCCTTGGTCCTCATCTATTCCCTACGACGAGCGTGACAGAAAAACCCACCAGAACTGGACCAAGCAGCGAGTCGAGGAGCCATTGCCAGGGAAATCCCTAGCAGATCTCCGTGGCAGCCTCGACTGGGTCAAGCCGAGTGAAGAGCAGAGAGGGTGGACTTGGGAACAGTGGAGGAAGAGTCTCGACTGGGTCAAGCCTAATGAAGAGCAGAATGGCTGGAGTTGGGGGCAGAAGAGCGAGAGTTGGGCGAGAACTATAGAGGCCTGGCCCACGGGGAGGAGAGACCCCCAGAAAATTTTTAGGGGGGGGCTCACGACGTCGGGGCAGCAGGAGGCCGCGATAGAGCGGTCCAGCGGGTTGGCAGAGGAGGCCGCCAGGTTACGGGGGCCACTGGTAGAAGAGGGGATGGAAGGTGTAGAGGCACGGCGAGAGGTACTGGGGTGTGTTACCAGTCCGGTCCGGCCCGTTCCAGATCCCGGTGTAGGGCCAGTGGTGTGTGTCCCCAGTACGGTCCGGTCTGTTCCTGCTCCCCGCACCAAGTCAGTGGTGCGCTTCGTTAGCCCGGCTCGGCCCGTTCCTGCTCCCCGCACCAAGTCAGTGGTGCGCTTCGTCAGCCCGGCTCGGCCCGTTCCTGCTCCCCGCACCAAGTCAGTGGTGCGTTTCGTCAGCCCGGTTCGGCTCACTCCTGCTCCTCACACCAAGCCAGTGGTGTGCGTTGTCAGTCCAGCACGGCCCGTGCCTGTTCTCCACACCAAGCCAGTGGTGGGCGTCGTCAGTCCGGCACGGCCCGTGCCTGTTCCACTGGTGCCTGGTTCGGCACTGGTCAGATGTTTTACGCCGGCGCTAGAGCAATCCGCTCCATCAGTGTGCAGTCCAGCTCCGGCCAGCGGGGCCAGACCGGACCAGGGGTACTTTGGGGGGTTGGAGAGGGAGTGGGGATCAGGTCCGGAGCCGGATCCGCCGCCAAGGCGGAGTGCCCACCCGGTCCCTCCCCTGTGGTATTTAGTTGGCGCGGTCGGAGTCCGCGCCTTTAGGGGGGGGGGGGTACTGTCATGCCCTGGCTCTGGGGACACTGTTATGTTGAGCCAGGGTGTGTAGTTCTATGTATTCTATTGCTATGTTGGGAGTCCTAGTTTGTATTTCTATGTTGGCCTGAGTGACTCCCAATCAGAGGCAACGAGTGTCAGCTGGTGCTGGTTGTCTCTGATTGGGAGCCATATTTAAACTGTGTCTTTCCCTTTGTGTTTGTGGGTTTTTGTTTCTAGTCTGTTTATGGTAGACCGTGAACTGTCACGTATCATTTGTTGTTTTGATCGTGTCTCGGAATAAAGAGTATGTTTGCCTGCAACGCTGCGCCTTGGTCCTCATCTATTCCCTACGACGAGCGTGACAAAGGTTCTAAAACAAAACAAATTTAAGAGTATCTAACATTAGCATAAAAACACTAAGTTAATATACTGTATCTTGATGGTATTCAATCATATCTAATTCCTATATAGTGCACTACTTTTGACCAGAGCCCTATGGGCCCTGGTCAAAAGCAGTGTAATATAAAGGGAAAAGGTTGCAATTTCGGACACAGCCTAAGTAACTACACTGTTGCGTCAGTGCTCCAGTGGGAAATCAACACAACGTGGTACTCAGGCTATTCTGCTAAAGATGACTGTAACCCATTTAAATGTATTCATGTTCAATCAGGCGACTCCTGACATTATTTAGTGAAATTGAAGGGAAGGAAACCTGGCATGGGGTCAGGTAATTATGTTCATCCTGTGTAGTGAATTAGAATTAGTCATTTTTACTGGTTAAATAGCTGCAAATTGAACTCATACGAGGAAAAAGTGGAATCCGCAAACTGCTCGAAAAATAATTACAAGTGAATTGGACCATAATCCAAAAACATCTACTGCACTGAGGACCTCAATTCACCTATCTTTTACCACACTTTATCTATCCATGTATATGGAATATGCAGTAATTCTTCTGACTTAACTGCATATTCTCCTCGTTATACACAGAGTATACAAAACATTAAGAACACCTTCCTAATATTGAGTTGCCTGACCCCCCTTTGCCCTCAGAACAGCCTCAATTAGTCGGGGCATGGACTCTACAAGGTGTCGAAAACGTTCCACAGGGATGCTGGCCGATGTTGACTCCAATGCTTCCAACAGTTGTGTCAAGTTGTCTGGATGTCCTTTGGGTGGTGGACCATTCTTAATACACACAGGAAACTGTTAAGCGTGAAAAACCCAGCAGCGTTGCAGTTCTTGACACAAACCGGTGCACCTGGCACCTACCACCTGGCACTTAAATATTTTGTCTTGCCCATTCACCCTCTGAATGGCACACATACACAATCCATGTCTCAATTGTCTCAAGGCTTAAAAATGATTATTTAACCTGTCTCCTCCCCTTCATCTACACTGATTGAAGTGGATTTAACAAGTGACATCAATAAGGGATTCACCTGGTCAGTCTATGTCATGGATGTTCTTAATGATTTGTATACTCAGTGTATTCTGAACTGCATGCACCTGTGACAATAACATGACTGCAGGTGAAACCCCTATAGCTGTCCATTCAACACCAAGGACAGCTCTAACTGCTCTATCTCTCCCTGCAGAACCACCTGCTAACCAACCTATACTGAACAAAAATATGAACGCAACATGCAACAATTTCAACGATTTCAACGTTCATTAAAGGAAATCAGTCTATTGAAATAAATAAATGTGGCCCTAATCTATGGATTTCACATGACTGGGCAGGGGCGCAGCCATGGGTGGGCTTGGAACCCACTTGGGAGCCAGGCCCAGCCAATCAGAATGAGTTTTCCCCACAAAAGGGCTTTATTACAGATGGAAATACTCCTCAGTTTCATCAGCTGTCCGGGTGACTGGTCTCAGACGATTCCGCAGGTGAAGAAGCCGGATGTGGAGGTCCTGGGCTGGTGTGGTTACACGTGGTCTGCGGTTGTGAGGCCGGTTGGACGTACTGCCAAATTCTCTAAAACGACGTTGGAGGCGGAAATTAACATTCAATTCTCTGGCAACAGCTCTGGTGGACATTCCTGCAGTCAGCATGACAATTGCAGGCTCCCTCAACACTTGAGACATCTGTGGCATTGTGTTGTGTGACAAAACTGCACATTTTAGAGTGACCTTTTATTGTCCCCAGCACAAGGTGCACCTATGTGATGATCATGCCGTTTAATCAGCTTCTTGATATGTCACACCTGTCAGGTGGATGGATTATCTTGGCAAAGGAGAAATGCTCACTAACAGGGATGTAAACAAATTTGTGTACAACATTTGAGAGAAATAAGCTTTTTGTGCTTATGGAAAAATTCTGGGATCTTTTATTTCAGGTCATGAAACATGGGACCAACACTTTGCATGTTGCGCTTATATTTTTGTTCAGTATACATGGCTGTCCATTCAGTACCATGGTCAGAGTCAACCGACATAAGTACAGCATTACAACCCCTACAGGTCCCTTCAGCACCGTGGACAGCGCCAATCGCAATACCTAACCATTCTACATGGCTCTCTGTTCAGCACCATGGACAGTACCACATCACATATCTCTTTTCAGCACCACAGACAGGATTAAAACGGCATTGCTGTTCATTCAGCACCACCTGCCTACCACCCTACAGTCGGCAGGACAGAGTACCCTCCTAACCCGTTTAGGAGAATATTAGGACGGGAAAACATACTAGATGGATAGACATAGGGCTATTTCCTAATTCATTGGAATTGTTACAATGTAGGGCCAACATTGTGTCAGTGCAGGGGCAGTCCACAGTAGTCTATTTCTTAACATGAAACATGAAATCTTAATAATAATAATAATAAATAATAATATGCCATTTAGCAGACGCTTTTATCCAAAGCGACTTACAGTCGTGCGTGCATACATTTTTGTGTATGGGTGGTCCCGGGGATCGAACCCACTACCTTGGCGTTACAAGCGCCGTGCTCTACCAGCTGAGCTACGGCTAAGCTAAGACACTGATATAATAGGCATATGTGTTATATTTTGATCACTTAACCAGGCCAGATAAGCTAACAATACATAATATTCAGTTCATTTGTAGGCATATAGCTAACTTAAAACGCTATACACAAACCTTGCAGGAGGAAGGTTTAGGACTACTTACAAGACATTACTCCAAAAACAAGCTGCCCTAGCGGCACTCACTGACTTACCCGAGGCCCCCTGCATCCAGCCGCAGATCTTATAGACGGTGTTGGTGGAGAACAGGAAGAAGAGAGTGAAAGAAGCAATGCAAGCTATCACCAGCATCATTGACATCCCGACGAAGAACGACGCGGCCTTGAACGCGGTGGAAGGGATCTGAGCGAACTCGGTGAAGGTTCCTGTGCAGTCGAGCTCCCTCTGGATCCCGTCGCCGGTGCAGAAGTGGAAGAGGCCGAAGTAGCCGGCCTGCGGGGTGTCCACGCCGTCCCCGATCCAATAGGGCTGGCTGAAGATCACCACGTTCAAGATGGCGAACAGGATGGTGAAGATGGCCCACAGGAGTCCGATGGCACGGGAGTTGCGGACGTAGTTATGCTGGTATAGTTTAATGTCTTCCGAAGACATCGATGGGAGCATCGACGCAGCCGATCCGGGAATCATTGTAGCACAGTTAGTGTTGTATCCCAGTCCCGGTATTTTTATGATGTAGGTAAGCCTATTAAAGTAGGTCTATGAGCAACGGGGGGCACTGACTAATTAATTAGTTGAGAAATGCAGGAGTGAGTAGGTATTTTTTGCTGTAGAAATGCAACCCAATGTAGCCTAGATAGATATCCACCCATGCAACTGAATGAATCACAGTAAAGGCAACATCTGGCAAGCATATTCAACTGGATAGCCAAAAGCTCATCTGCAAGCTCGCGCCTATATTTAGCCTAAACGATAACTCTGAGAACTTGGCGACTCCTGAACTAGCCTGTATGAGAAATAATTCCCTCCCACCTTTCTCATAGGCTATGTATGGCTGTCTAGCCGTTTGTCAGACATCGCTTCTGGCACGTGTCACTTGTATGTCTCCGGAATACCTCCTTGAAAAACACAGCAAATATCAGATTGTTATTCGGATATTACCCATAACACATGACTCATTATAAGATTCAAACCAATATCAAATAATAAGGCCTTCCAATAGCTTACAGAACAGCAGTTATTGCAATAGCCTATGGCTCTTTCCTAAGCAATGATGACGACAGTGACGGTGTCAAACCCGAGCAAACGAAACGCAATGTCTATGATGCCTTCCCTCCGGTATAGCCCAAATCACATTCCTACGGGATAATTCACAGCATCTAGTCGGCACAGCCCGGTCCAGGTAGTTGCTACGGAGATTTTTTTCACGAGCTACCGCAGCATCAGCAGCCTCCGTCAGTGATGCCGGAAGAAGGATGAGGAGGATGAGAGGAAAGAGAGAGACACGATTCAATACCCTCACCAGAGGAAGCAGACAATGATGTGCATGTCAGCGCTGACGGTGATCCGTTCTCTCAACTTATAACAACTCTGTTTATGTCTGTCCCATGAGCTGGTTTAATGTAGGCTGTTACATTCTAAGCACGATCTTCAAAGATACGTATAGCCGACGTGACAAGCCGTCAAACACACTGCTGCATCACGACCCAATCTCGCTCTAGCTCTGGTAGGCTACCCTCTCTGTAGGCTAGGCTACGGCAACAGGATCCACATGACAATCCCTCCTAAATCATCGCAATCAGATGATCAGAGCCGTTCGTGCGTCGAAATGGAGCCTATACAATAATCTCGGAACCGTTTTGCTCACGCGGCTCGGTCAGGGCGAAATTGTCCTCCACAGACAGATTCAGTGGCACAGGCCTGGTTTGGTTAGTGCACGCGGCGCGCCTCCCCTGGTCTTTCTCCAAAATGTTAGACTACCTGTCATGCAGAACTGATCGCCACCACTGCTGCTGTGCTCATAACAGTGGGGCCAATATGTATTGTTATTATACTGAACAAAAATATAAACTCAACATGTAAAGTGTTGGTCGCATGTTTCATGAGCTGAAATAAAAGATCCCAGAAATGTGTTTACATCCCTGTTTGTGAGCTTTTTTATTTTATTTTTACATTTAAGTCATTTAGCAGATGCTCTTACTGTTATACTATTCCAGGTATTCCTTAAAGAGGTAGAGTTTCAAGTGTCTCCGGAAGGTGGTCAGTGACTCCGCTGTCCTGGCGTCGTGGGGGAGCTTGTTCCACCATTGGGGTGCCAGAGCAGTGAATAGCTTTGACTGGGCTGAGCGGGAACTGTGCTTCCGTAGGGGTAGGGGGGTTAGCAGGCCAGAGGTGGATGAACGTAGTGCCCTCGTTTGGGTGTAGGGTCTGATCAGAGCCTGAAGGTAAGGAGGTGCCGTTCCCCTCACAGCTCCGTAGGCAAGCACCATGGTTTTGTAGTATGTGCGAGCTTCAACTGGAAGCCAGTGGAGTGTGCGGAGAAGCGGGGTGACATGAGAGAACTTGGGAAGGCTGAACACCAGACAGGCTGCAGCATTCTGGATAAGTAGTAGGGGTTTAATGGCACAGGCAGGGAGCCCAGCCAACAGCGAGTTGCAGTAATCCAGACGGGAGATGACAAGTGCCTGGATTAGGACCTGTGCCGCTTTCTGTGTAAGGTAGGGTCATACTCTGCAAATGTTGTAGAGCATGAACCTGCAGGATCGGGTCACCGCTTTGATGTTAGCGGAGAACGACAGGGTGTTGTCAAGGGTCACGCCAAGGTTCTTTGCACTCTGGGAGGAGGACACAATGGAGTTGTCAACCATGATGGAGCAGGCAGCATTTCTCCTTCGCCAAGATAATCAATCCACCTGACAGGTGTGGCATATCAAGAAGCGGATTAAACAGCATGATCATTACACAGGTAATAAAAGGCCACTCTAAAATGTGCAGTTTTGTCACATAACACAATGCCACAGATGTCTCAAGTTAAAAAGGGAGTGTGCAAATGGAATGCTGACTGCAGGAATGTCCACCAGAGCTGTTGCCAGATAATTTAGTTTTCATTTCTCTACCATAAGCCGCCTCCAACTTCGTTTAAGAGAATTTGGCAGTACGTCCAACCGGCCTCACAACCGCAGACCACATGTAACCACGCCAGCCCAGGACCTCCACATCCGGCTTCACCTGTGGGATTGTCTGAGATCAGCCACTGGGACAGCTGATGAAACTGAGGAGTATTTCTGTCTGCAATAAATACCTTTTGTGGGGAGAAACGTATTCTGATTGGCTGGGCCTGGTTCCCCAGTGGGAAACCCATGACAGCGCCCATGTGAAATCCATAGATTAGGGCCAAATACATTTATTTCAATTGACTGATTTCCTTTTATGAAATGTAACTGTTGCATTTTGCATTAATATTTTTGTACAGTATAGATAAGGATAAGGAAGGACATCCGAGTGTGTTGGTGCAATAGAGGAAACAGAGTCACCTCACTCCCATTTACCCATTGCCTATAATGAAAACAGACATAAAAATGGATTACTATTCTTTTTTTAAATTATGCCCAGCTCACCATGCCCCTTGGTGATGTGAGGCCTGAGGCAATTGCCTCTTCTGCCTAATGGTAATCCACCACTGAGTGCTAGCATTTGAAAATATGATTTACCTGTGGCCACAAAGTGATTGGATGTCTGCAACTTTGTTCTTCAAAATGACTTTCAAATATGAATTATAAATTCATGGCCAACTATTCATAATGGTAGATGAACTCACATAAACGTCTAATATTTGTACAGTATCCCATGCACACAGGGTTTACGGTTTGCGCATATGCAGTAACATACAGATTTGGTTCAGTTTTCAAGTTTTAAGTTTCAACAAATGAGGGATCACAGCTGGAGGGAGCAGGATTTTACACAACACAGGAAGGAGATCATTTTGATCTGGATTAAACAGGGTTCTGACAAACTGGCCCCTATTTCATCATCATGATGACTCATCTCCAAACCAGGGTTTAGCTGGATTAGTCAGTACAAATGTATCCCAAATTGCACCGTATTCCCTACATAGTGCACTACTTTTGACCAGAGACAGTCAAAAGTAATGCACTATAGGGAATATGGTGCTATTTAGGAAACAGCCATGCAATGAGTAGCCATATAGCCTGTTCATACACAGTATTTGGGGGGATTTGTGTGTTAAACGCTGTCTTTTAGGGCACATTATTGCCGCTCTCCATGGCTACTGAGCGAAGAGCCATGTAGGTTGGTGCTGTCCATGGTGCTAAACCAACACTGTAGGTTGTACTCCTATGAAAGGAGTGCAATGGGTAGACTGGTTGTAGACCCCGAGCCCCTACTACACCCTGATCAGATCTGAGGGTGTAGGATAGAGCTTATACAACATGGTATAAGCTCTATCCCCCCCCCCCCCCCCCCCCCTTTATTGATTTATTTCTCTGTGCTCTTTCAAAACATGTCATAGATCTCTGTAAGAAACGGCACTGTTGAACAATGAGATGAAAACAATATAATGTGATTGTCACGTTCGTTCATAAACGGGACGGACCAAGGCGCAGCGTGATATGCAAACATGTTTATTTAACGAATAAACACAATGACAAAACAATAAACCAACGATATGTGACGTCCTAAGGTACACACAACAAACCTCACACGGAACAAGATCCCACAACCCACTAGTGCCAAAAGGCTGCCTAAGTATGGGCCCCAATCAGAGACAACGAGCGACAGCTGCCTCTGATTGGGAACCACACCGGCCAACATAGATCTAGACATACTAGACTTTAAACATAGATCCACACCACATAGAAAAATACACACCCTGACTCAACAAATAAGAGTGCCCAGAGTCAGGGCGTGACAGTGATGAGGCCACAAGGTCATAGTAGGGGTGGGATGACTGTGACCCTATCACACACATACACACACACACACACACACACACACACACACACACACACACACACACACACACACACACACACACACACACACACACACACACACACACACTGAACAAACGTTATCTTTGACCTGACGTCCTTAATCCAGAATCAGTTGAGTGCCAGACAAAACCCATTTAATCATTGTTTCATTATTTATATGGGAGAGGAGTTTTGGGATGAAAATTGCCTGGAATACAAACGACATTGAAACTGAAAGGGGAATTTCATAACGGAGTATATATTCATTTATCTGTCGGTCTTACCATTTTGTAGGCTAGTATCATTTTGTGTGTTTTTGATGTAACATTTCAGTAGTCCTGGTTGGGAAGGCATGTTACACCAAACTAAAATATTACACACCCTCCCCCCTCATTGAATTAACTCAAAAATAAGGATTATGACCACAAATAACAATAACTGCAGCGACCCTGTTTTTATAAACATGGATATCAAACTTTGCCACTTCAGCATGCTTTTGTGGCAGAGTCGATGCGACGCAAGGCTCCGGTCTGTCTCATTACACTACAATCAGAGCTAGCTGCAGACAGTGATCAGCTAGTGGGCAATTAGATTTGTAACATTTTGATGCTATATTTATAATTATATAAAATGTATGCCACCAATATTTTCTACCAACAGGTTTCTGTGCCAATAAGCAAAGCATAACTGCATACCGAT